GCCAGAGGGCATGAATGATTTGAGTTCAATTGTCCTTGGAATGGGTGAAGGATACTCTTTTTAACATGATTGAAGTTCTAGGATCCCTTTGGAATAATCACAGTTGTAGGGGGTGTTCAAAGAAGAGTATATTTACATAAGGGCCTGGAAGAATGGAGAATATTCCCTCAGGTTCTCTAAGGGCAGCTGTGTTCTTTTGCTAGACTTCCACAATTACATAGGATAAAGGATTCTCATTATCATAAAAATCCATGAACCAACATCCCTGGATTACCTCTAATCCTTGAAACACCATGAGCAGTGTACCTGCTCATTTTCATCCTCTTGGCATTCTGGTCTTCAGAATCCTGCCAGAATTATGTTATGTTCTGCTTAAAGCATTCTAGGCCTTCTCCGGAATGAATCTCCAAACTCTTCCACCTTCACACAAACCAGTCCCAAAGGAGTGAGGTCATTTACTCCTGTGTTTCACAGCAATGACCATTCACGTGTGATTGTGAAAGTGGATCATACATGCTCCAGTTCACACACATGCAAGTTAGAGGATATTGCTGGGAAGTCAATTCTCTCCTTCTACCACATCTGACTAGATTCTGTCCATGGCTGAGAAACTGAGTAGCAGTGAACTAAAGGGAAATGGGTTCATCTCTTGGGCAGAGGAAATCTCCCGATAGCACAGTGTTCAGGCTGTAACATGGCTACTGCTTACTGCTCTCATTCAGATCTCCAGAAAAAAAAAAAAAAGAGGAGGAACTCCAGAATGGAAGTTTGGTGAAGGAAGTGTGTAATAAAGTTCAAAGGGGAAGACAACGAGACACAACTGGTGGAAGGATGTGGATTAAAAGTTTTATGCTTGTGTATCACGTTGGCAAGTAGACCTATGATGGTTGGTACCGATTGCCACTTTCACAGATCTAGAATCCCCTAAGAAATTTATTTCTAGGCATGTCTGTGAAGGAGTAGAGTTAACTGCATAGAGAAAACCAACCCCCAAGTGCAGCACCATTCAGTGGTCTAGGGTTCTAAATGGAATAATAATAAGAGAGCTAACTGAGTGCCACCATCCATCTCTCTCTGCTTTCTGAATGCAGATGCAATAGTGCCTGCCATGATACCTTCCCTAAAACTAGAAGTCAAAGTAAGATTTTCGTTCCTTCAGTTGACCTTTTTATATATTGAGTTGAAATTGTTCAAAACGTTTTAAAAGTTGCTATTCATCAACACACATATTTGCTGAATGCTGTGTATATTAGAGCTCAATATAGTTATCATTAGTAGAATATGATAAAACCATGTGACAGAAACCCGTGTGACTATTTGAAATTAAATGACAAAAATGCAGAAAGATGCACATGATAAATCATATGGAAAGAAATTTGCTGAACTGTAAAAAAAATCCCATAAACCTTATTTTGAGATGCAACCTTGTATTATGTTCCTCTTATGAAGCCTTCTTAGCATTCCAGAAGCATCTCTCCTGCTGTGGTATTTGCAGCATGGCGTCACCAATATGGTTTCCAAATACTGGGCTCAAATGTATATCTGTCTGTAATTCCATCAGGAATGTCCATGTGGCTATTATATTAGTATATTTTCTTCATCTTTGGACTTGTGAGTGTGTGTGTGTATGTGGTTTATGCATGAATGCATGCATTTGAGTGTGTGCTCACACATGAATATGCATGCCTGTGTGTGTGCACGTGTGTGTGTGTGTGTGTGTGTGTGCATGAAATCAAAGTGACCTAGAAAAATCAAAGCAATCAGGGCACCATGGACTGACTGCCCAGGTAGAATGAAAACACTAAACATGGGCACCATGGAGATTAAAAATAGAAGTGAGTGACAAATCAGTGAGCCCAACTGATTTTCTACTCTGAGAATACGGATGAGGGATGCTTACGAAGAAGTTAATGGAGAGCACGAGAGGCGCACAAGAAGTATTTAGCAGTATTTAGCATACTTTAGCGTGTAATTTCTCATAATAGTTACCATGGTGGGAAACACATAGTATCAGAGCTCAAGGCAGCCAATCACTTCACACCCTCAGTCAGAAACAGGAAGAGACAGAGATTGCCACTCAGCTCTCTTCCTCCTGTTCTACTCTGTTCAGGACTGTAGTGATACATTATTTATGATTTATTAAAACTTGCCTGAGGATTCAAAAAGCAAAATCAGCAACTACTCTTAGAAGCCAGGCACACACCTTTAATCTCAGCAGCCAGAAGCTAGGAGGTGGTGATGCACACCTTTAATCCTAGGACTCAGGATTGAGAGATAGATGGATCTCTGTGAGTCTAAGGCCAACCAGATCTACACAAGAGTGAATCAGTCTAAAAGAGAAGTATGGCTCACACCTTTAATCCCAACATTAGGGAAGTATATAAGACAGAAGCAAGGTATGAAAGAGGCATTTCTTCTCCAACCACACTGAGGAGAGGTTACAGTCTGAGGCTTGGTGAGAGCTCATGGAGACAGGATCGGCCCAGACAGCCTGAGGTAGGGATAATAAGCTAGTGTCCAGCTGCTTTGCTTTTCTGATATTCAGCTTGAACCCCAATATCAATCTCTGGGTCATTTATTTTTCATGTTACACAGGACTACAGGCAATGGTATGGAGTTGCCCACCTTCTGGATGGGTCTTTGCTGAGTTAACAGCTGTGGAGACTCACTTCTGTGGCTACATTTGAGTTTCTACATGTTTACAGGTGAACAAACATGAATTATAGTATGAGCACGACAAGGAAATGGTCCAAGTTGCATCTGGTCTAAGCTGTCTTCCATGAATCAATGGTTTCTGGAAAGCTGCAAGCAAGTAGCCTAGTAGCCTTCCCGTTAGAGACATTGTTAATGCTGGCAGAGCCACATAGAATTCACTTGTGCAACCTAGCTGAGAATAACAATGCTATGAATGGAGAAATGTATCAACAAAGACCAAGGCATACACCCAAAATAAGGGAAACAGGTCCAACACAAATGGCAGTGCTTGGCTGCTGTGGAGGCCAAATGCAAAATCAAATAACAGCGGAGGACTCCTATGAAACGTTTAAACGAGCTGTTTCTACTAACAGTTTGTGGAGAGCTACCTGCTTTCTTCAACTTTGAGGCTGAATAGAATTATTATCAGTAGACCAAACAGCTACAGTATCATTTCTAGCTCACCAAGAAAATTTTGAAGCAACTTCCTAGAGGATATTTTAAGAGTTTGGGTTTTCTTTATTATTATTTTAACTAAGTGTATCTGTGTGTGTGTGTGTGTGTGTGTGTGTGTGTGTGTGTGTCTGCATGAGGGCATGTGCATGGGAATACAGGTGCCCACAGAGGTCGGAGGTGACAAATCTGGGGTTGCAGATACAGGCATTTGTGAACCTCTCTCTCAACACAGGAACTGAACTGGGATCTTCTGGAGGAACCCTGGGTCCTTTTAATCACTGGAGCCGTCTCTTTAGCCGCCCTGAAAGATGCTACCACATAATGTAGACAGACACGGGTTAAGTACAAACGCAGCCTGTCTGAGTTCATCTAATCTCCACGTTCTCAGGACATTAGCTGAGTCACCGGAAGTCTTGATTCACACAATAAAAGAAAGAATCGCGGTGCTAATTGGCTATGGTCAAAGGATTCATTTCCCCTGAGGCTTTTGCAAAAGACCCATTTAATTATGACTCATCAATACTGGTTAATATAATTTTTTTACTAAATGGACAGTAATTAGGCTCTTGTGGAAATGCATCTTTTTTTCAGTCTCATCTCCACGAGACCTGAAGGGCCTTCATTAGACAACTTAGCAAACAGATGTAATTTATTCAGACTCCTTTTCTTTGGCGTCCCATTGGACCTGCCGTTACGCAGTTACCGCTTCCTTTCCTCTGATGACGGTGTTTGTGCACCCAGTGCAATTTTCAGTACACCAACGCTGAGACACCACCTTAAGGTGGCTCGTTTCCTATACATCTCTGTATGAGGTCGTTGAGGACTATCGGTTAGAAATGCGATTCAGTATGTGAGAGTGTAGGGGCATATGCACACAACCCCGGAAGAGGAGAAGGTGAAACAGGAACGATCTGGTGCGTCCTTGCCATAAACGTCCGGCAAGTTCCAAGCAATGATAGAGACTGTCTCAAAGGAGACAGTTCAGTCCCTCTAAGGATGGGTGTCTGCTGGCATTGTCCTTGGACCTCTACACATATGTATGCACTCAAAGCCACACTTAGACATGCGCGTGCGCGCGCGCACGTACACACACACATACACACACACACACACACACACACACACACACACGCACGCACGCACGCAAACCCCGTGCACCTTTGTACAATGGAGGAGCTTCTGTCACACTCCTGATAAATCGTTGGTTTTCTCTTTGGTGTTCCCCACTTCCTTATAAATGGCTTCTGTTGTCTTTTTAAAGTATATATTGTTCCTTGAGAATTTCATGCATGTTAACAATGTGCTTTGATCAAATCCATCCTCCTCCTCCCCTCCAACTCCTCCAGACTGTTCCCCCACCTCATGTACTCTCTTCTAAATTCCTATAATCCTTTGAAAACCCACTGGGTCCATTACGTACTTTTTACAAAATAGTTCTTACAGTGGTGTTACAAACTATTTCCAAGTGTCCATAGCATTGGGATAATGGTTATAACCCCCCCATTTCTCTAACATTCTCTTTGCATATAAACACACTTTTTCCCTTAAACTGTCTTCAAAAATGTCACTTCCTTACTGTTATACTTAATTGTTGAAAATATCACTTATATTTCACACAAAATGGAAACTCCAAACTTCCACTTCCCCTGACACACCATTAACCCCACAAAGGCACTCAGTATGTGCTCTGCTAATATTTACCCAAGTGTTAATATGATGACAGCCCACCTGCTCTGGCTGCCTGGGAAGCACTTTCCATCTATAAGATGGAAATTAATGACAGCCTCCCTGGTAACAGAGCTAAGAAAGGCGAGGGGTATATAAAAGCCAGCCTGCCAGTTGCCGAGCCGTGCATGCAGAATTGGGCTGTGGTTCCCGAAGCTTCTGGCTGTCAAAGGCATTTCTGATATTGCTGACACTGATCACTGAAAGGTAAAGAACATCCTGTGCTTGGGAAGATGTTATTTACTAAAAGAAAAGCAATCTTTGTGTTACCTGTAGGAATTACTTCAAGAAGAGAGTATAAAGAATAGTATGTTGCATTAGAAAATTTCAGTGTTGATTTAGGAATGAAATTGAACATTTTGTTGTTTCAAAGTTGACAAGCATCTGCAAAAATTAACAGAAGTCCTTGTTAAATAAAACTTAAAATGTCTTTGGAGATTCTAATTAATAATTGCTTCCATCAGAACTGAAGGAGGGAGCTTGACTTCAATGTTTTCTCTTCTCAGGGAACTCGAGAAGCGATGCACATCTCAAAGCTGCCAGCTGCTCTCCTCATCTTCTCTGTGGCACTAAACCACTTGAAGGCTACACCTGTCAGAAGGTTGGTAACCTGAAAATCCCTACTTCTTTTGAAAAGTGTGGGGAAATTAGAATTCAGCACTGCTTTGTAACTAACAGCCTTTGTATTGATAAATTTCTAAGCAAATACTGCCATGAGAAATATTTGAAGCTTAAAGGTTTCCCTAATTGTGCATTCTCTGAGGACAAGGTCAGTGACTGGGGATTGACTGGTAGAACTTCTAACAGATGGGCATGGGTAGCAACATTTGTCTGGAAACTTGTAGACCCTACAGGGCAAAGCCAGAGTAAGATGCCAGAAAAACTGACAGGTAGATATTCACACTGTTTGATCCCAATACTGAAAGAAACTGAGGGAATTAAACACAACATTGCTTTTTATATCACGTGGAATTTTGGTGCATATTTAAACAGCTTATTTTTCCTCTTCAGAGGGGTTTGGAAGCATCCAAACTTCTACACCTCCTTCTAGATTTGAAACTATAAGAGAGGAAGCAAATAAAAGGTTTTAAGAAGCTAAATTTCCGAAGGAGTTAAAAAGCCATTTGCTATTTTAAAGTCATTCCATGAAGTGTCTATACAGAGTTATAAGAAGTTATTCTACACAAGATGACTCCGAGCCTCTGTGAATGTAAATTAGTAATACCTGGAATATTGTCAATGTATAAAACTGTACATGTACACCATCATGATTTCTGAGGAAGGCTTATTGGAAATATCAAAGAAAACTAAATGGGGGTTTGAGGAAATCTAAGGCAGTTTAAGGCAGCTGGCAAAATAGTAGTAATTACAAGCTTCAGATAGAAACCAGTAAAAAGAAGTGTATTCTCCATCTGTTTAAAAGATTCCTGAGGCCAAATCCATGAATCGGATTTAAGCAATATAATGAGAATTTCTGCCTAAATCAGTTTTGCTCCAGATACTATTAGGAGACCAAACTTGGGCACAAAGAAGGAATTTTACCTTTGAAAAGGAGTATAATTTAAGTCTTAGGAGAATTATCATCATTCTTTTTTCTCTGGGGTATTTGTTCTTGGGTGAAATCTTTGTCAATGTGCATGCAGATATTTCTACAGCACCAGCTGTGATTAATACCAGGAATCATCAAAAATTAGTTTTTGTCATCTCAAAACTCACTGAGTTTCACCCAGTGTTCTCTGAACTAACTGTAATTTTCAACTGGCTCTTTTAATTTTCAATTAGCTAAAAATAACTGCAAAACCAATATAAAATCTCTAATAAGCAGAACAATTGAACCATGATGGAAATTTAACAGCATTGCCTAATGTGTCTGCCAGTATCTTGATTTTTTTTCCTCCCAGTACATATGGAGATTGGTCAGCACCGCTATTGAGTGTGTCTGTGGATGCTTACATCCTAGTTAACTTTACTCTAAAATAGAATGAATCACACCATTACTGTCTGTCACATTATTTTCCTAATTTCTCACAATCATTTATGTTGTTCACACTCACAAGACATCCTTAAAAATATTTTAATGTATTTACTAACAACAGTAGCCTTCTAGATGATGGGAGATGTATACATACACATACTCATACCTAGGTTGATCACTAGGAGCTCAGAGTAGTAGCAAATACCTCTACATGTGAATGTTGATGTAGACAAGTCACTAAGAAAAAAAATACCTAAAGTGGAGATAGCATATCTTGCACTGGCGACGTCATCTTTACCTGCATTCTAAGGATTATTTTGAGTAGTCTTGGGCATGTTTTCATCATCTTTAGACGGAAGGTTTCTTAGGGGTAGCAATAGTGCATCTATGACACAAGCTTAAGTGTTTTTGGCATCTTTCATGAGGAGTGGTGGCCCTCTCAGCAAACTGAATAAGCTAATGTTTCAGTTAGAATATCTTAAGGTGCTGTAATTGCCCTATAATCAACTCTGAAAGTCCAGTCTCACAACCAGCCTGTGAAGAACTCTACAGTCTGCTTCCATCACTGCCAACAACATCTTCAGAGATTGCCCTTCACTGATAGATCATGTTCCCTCCTGTCTTAGATCTATCAGTTTTCAGGTTCACAGACTAACTTCTTCTAACCCCAGCTGTTTTCTAGGAAAAGTCATCTTTATTTAAAATTTACTGTCTGGGTTTTTGGAAGACTGGCAAAAGTCTTTAAAGCACTAGGGTCCTTTCTTTAAAAATACAGTGTCCGTGTATGCTTTGCCCTCAAAGAACAGGTAGCATCCTTGAGATGAATACAGAACAAAAATGCAGATGGCACTGTGAGTGGTGACACTCACTGCAGTAGAGAGACAGGAGGATTAAAAAGTGGGAATTTGCTTCAACAAATTGAAAAGGTGAAGACAAACTTCTGGGTCCCACACTGGGCTTCTGACTGTTTTCTTTATTGTGTATTTACATAAAACAAACAGCCAGGTCACTTGATGCTGACAGAAGAGTTTTCTGTAATTGGGGGAAATATAGTAGTAACAAGGCAAAGTAATTTTAAAAGTTCATGTAAAACATTTCGGCTTAGGATACCTCTGCACAGAGGCAATGATGACTCAACACTCCCACCTAGAAGGTCCTCAGAAGACACGTTCATCGCTCTTAGTCCCCAGTCATGTGTCACAGGCATGGTCCTGAGAACTATTTTAGCCCCATAACTCTTGATTTCCACTTCACGTGTATCTAAATTTTAATAATAACTTGATTTCTCTGGAACTGAAAACTAAGACACTTCCCATCGTGTTCTAAAGATCAACACAGTAGGCAGCATTACTATTCCATATCCATTTGAACTATCGTTCTAAAAGCACATTGATAAAGTTTATTTCTGAAGTATATGTCAAAGCCCCAAGTCTTAAAAGTTTGATTCCTAGCACGGTACTTGTAGGAGGTAGTAGAGACTGGGGGGTGGGGAGAGAGAGAGAGAGAGAGAGAGAGAGAGAGAGAGAGAGAGAGAGAGAGAGAGAGAGAGAGAGAGAAGACTGGGGGTTTTGGGTCAATGAACTTGTACCTTCAAAAGAGGTTTGGGAACATACTTTATTTTTCTCCCTCTTAGTTTCCTCTTAGTTTGCTTGCTGGTTGCCATGCAATTACCAGCTTGCCTAACCTCACAATTACCTACTGTGATACATGTTGTTAGCATCCAAAATAATAAGACCCAATGACTCTGGGCTGAGTCCTCAGGATTTCTAGCCCAAATTTCTTTCCTGTTTTCAAGTTGATTTGTTTCAGGTATTCTTACACACACAGAAAACTGACCAACAGAGGCATGAGACATTCTTAGGGTATAGAATCGGAAAAAATAAATGTGTTAAATAGAGGTGTAAATCCAGGTGTGGTAGTACATATCTGTAACCCCAACACTTGGGAGAAGTAGGACAATCACAAGTTGGAAGCCAGCCTGGGTTGCATGGCTAGGTCCAGAAATAAAGAATAAATGAATGCATCAAAATTCAAATAAGTTCTAAAGCACAGTTATAATTTTTGAGTTGTTGCTAGTGGCGTCATTCCATTGTTCAGGTAAAAACGTGGTGATCTTAGTACCCTCGATATAGAAATACCCCAGTTGTCACAGTTAGTGTAACGTTAAATGTTTTGAAAAACAGAGATCTACGTATTCATGTCAAGGATGGCCATGGAGCAGCAGGTGCTGGCACAGTAATCAGTCCACTTGTCCTGTGACTCTATAGCAGCTTTTAGATGTTCTTTTAATCACCTAATATCTGCCTTTTGTTTTTTGTTTTTGTTTGTTTGTTTGTTTGTTTTGAGACAGTGTTTCTCTGTGTAGCTTTGGATGTTCTAGAGTTCACTCTGTAGAGCAGGCTGGCCTTGAACTCACAGAGATCAGCCTGCCTCTGACTTCCTAGTACTGGTATTAAAGGTGCACACCACCACTGCCTGGCCTTATCAGTCTTTTTAATGTTTCTATTCTGTTTATTGTAGTAAAAACATTCCATGTGAAATCTGCTTTCACATTTTAGCGTGCAAAATTTCATACTGCTGACAGACTGCTGACAGTGATCTTGAGGACACATTCACCTTGCTGCCTATTGCTTAGTAACCAGCTATTTGCCTCTGCCCATTACCTAGTGAACAAGATTCCACTATTTGATTCACAAATGTGACTGGGGTTTCTCATATGTATTCACTCAACATGTAACTTCCTGTGCCTGACTTACCTCACTTTGCACAATGTCTTCAGCGTTTCATATTGCAGGATTCCCTTATGGAATCTTTCTCTTGATATTTTCACTGAGTAATCTCAAGAAACACACCAAAATACTGTTTAATTTTTGTCAAAAAGATAGAAGAAATGAATGCACCTTTGGAATCTCCACATAACCCAGGCTAGATATAAATCATACACTCCAAATCCTTTATATATAACAGAAAGCATGTCCACCAAGACTCAGAGTAATACAAGATAAAGAGTTCCTTATTATAAGAACATGTGCCAAATATCCAAAGAGACCGCTCCTTGTGTTGTGAACTGCGATGCTGACCACAGTGGAAGGTGGTGTATGATTTTTTTTTTTTTTGTGGTCAAAAACTGATTCTTCTACATGTTCTAGGTATCAGGACTTGGAACAACGTCCTGAGTGGCTTCTGTAAAAATACTCCCATCTCTTACTGCATGAAGTAGTGGGGATGATATGGCTGACTCTCAACCTGGTGCTTCTCTCTTATTTGTTCAGTGGCACCAACCATCAGATGGACAAACGGAAGTGCAACACGGCCACGTGTGCCACACAGCGCCTGGCCAACTTTTTGGTCCATTCGAACAACAACCTTGGTCCCGTCCTCTCACCAACCAACGTGGGATCGAACACGTACGGCAAGAGGAGTGCTGCGGAGATTCCAGACGGGGATTCTTTGGATCTCTTCCTCCTTTAGAGTCGGCATACTTCTTCATCTCTTGTTATTTTGTGTGTAAATACTCTGGCACTTTCACGAATTATTTAACAGTGCCTTTTTCATTTCTACTTGTGAGTGCACTGCAACGTGTTCCATGCTTTCTGGCTCTGTGTGTGTAAAATCCTCATCCTAAGAATGGTTTTTAAACTGAGGGCTGATCAAGATCAGGCTGAAGACCATGTCTCTTGACACAACATGTTCTTGAAATACTGAAAATTTTCTTTTTTTTTTTAATCTTATAACTTTGTGATTCAAGTCTAACAATAAAGGAGACTCCTGGAGCATGAAACTTGACAAGTCGCTAACTGCTAATAGTAGAGTTCTGATTCTGGGCATTGGAAAGCCTAATATTCTAGGTTCCTGCTCAGATGCCATTTCAAAATAAATTAGCAAAATTGAAGCCGGATATTTGATCACACTGTGAACCCTGAGATTTCATTTACTGGAAAAACCTGTTTCTAGTTGTTGTGTGGCCCAGCCTCGTCACACACCTTTGATCCAAGAGCTTTCTTCTTATAGTAAACAGGATTAAATAAAGTCAACCATAGGTCAAGAGGTGGTACAAGCACCCAGATGACAGGAAGTGAACATAAGGAAAAAACCATAGAGAGTAAGAGGGAGTCAGGAGGACAGACATAGAGATGCACATGAAGTGGGAGGGTGGGCGACATTTGGTTTGAAGTTTTTTTGTTTGAGACTCTGTAGGGAAAAGGCCTTGCATTCTACCACATTGGTGGAGGAGGATTAAGGTCAGCCAGGAGCTTGATCTGCCTCTCTGAGCTAGTAGGCTTTCACCCCAGCATCTGGCTCCCGAGTCTTTATTGGTAAAATTGAATGATTTAATTAAAGTATTTTTAATTCTGTTCTTTACTGTGCTTTATGGCACTAAAAAGGTATTTTGAATGATGAAGGTAGTTTGTGTTCATGAGGGGTTCATTGCAGTTTCTGCAGTGAGCTTTAATGATATGTCAATGACTTCATTCTGCTAAATATTTATATCCAGTATATTTCAAAAGGGTCCTGTCTTCTGCTGTTTATGTCTTCAACTAAGAGACCAGAGATTCTTCAAACTCAAGCCTATATGTCAATTTATTCTCTTGGCTAAGTCAGGAAAGTTTCTAGAGGAATGGTGTGACTCTATAAGTCAGTGTTACAATTTACATGCTTTTCCTTGACTATAAATTGGAACCACTAGAAATAACATTAGTGTATACAAATGTCTATAATACTACCTTATATCATTTTTCTAAATGGGGTCTGTCTATGGAGCCCTGGATGTCTGGGAACTCATTATGTAGACCAAGATGGCCTCAAACTCATAGAGTTCTGCCTAGCTCTGCCTCCCAAGTCTTGTGATTAAAGGTGTGATCCAAGACACCTGGCAATGTTTCTTTAAAAGACAATAATAGGGGCTGGAGAAACAATAACAGAGTCTGGAGGAACAGCTCAGAGGTTAAGAGCACTGACTGACTGCTCTTCCAGATGGTTCAATTGATGGAAACCACAGGGTGGCTCACAACCATCTGCCATGAAATCTGGCGCCCTCTTCTGGTCTGCAGGCAGAACACTGTATACACAGTAAATAAATCTTTCAAAGTCGTAACATTTTTATGTATTCTTTTATATTTCAGACACATAGGCAACACATTATGATTTCATATATTCCTTCATTTCCCCCTGCAACACTCCTGAATTCTTGCAACACGTCTCCCTCCCAACTTCATGTCTTCTTTTTCTCTAAAGGCACTCAGTTTAGACTTCCAGAAAATAGAAAATAAAACAGAATCTCATTCTTAGTGGCAATCTGACTTACAGACATGATTTGAACATTGAAACTCCCTTCATGAAGTATGCCTTACATTACCAATTTTTTTGCTATGGTTGTTGTTTTTAGTATTGGAATCAGGAAAAGATATTTATGTGGATATTATTAGTCTAATATTTAAATGAACAATTATATAAATTTCTCTTTGTGATATACCACCATTGATCCTGCTTTGAAAATAGATTAATTCCCAGCATTTCAGGTGGTGTGAGGTTCGGCTTATTTCAAAATGTGCCACAATAAATTCAATAAAGCTTTATTGTATGCCACATCTATAGTTGAAGAAATAATATTCTAGCTGGGCAGTGGTGGCACACGCCTTTATTCCCAGCACTACGGAGGCCAGCCTGATCTACAGCTACAGGGTGAATTCCAGAACAACCACAGGGGGAAAAAAAACGAAAGGAAGGAAGGAAGGAAGGAAGGGAGGGAGGGAGGGAGGAAGGGAGGGAGGGAGAAAGAGAGAGAGACTATTAAACTATGTGTGCTACACAATCTATCTGTATTATATTTAGGTTTTAAATTAGTTCGTGGCTGCCATGAGATGAGCATCTCTGCTCTGCCACACCCTTCCACCAGGATGTTTCATCCTCACTAACTTAGGGATGTCTGTGGCCTTTCTTCGTAGATCTATAAACTAAATCATGAACATTTGAAAAGAAAGAGAAAGAAATCAGAAGAGAATTAGAAAGAAAGAGGAAGCAAGGGCTGGAGAGACGACTGACTCAGCAGTTCTGAATTTCTCTTCTTATGGAGGATTCAAGTTTGGTTCCCAGCAATGATAGAGGATAACTCACAAACACCTGTGACCCCGAATCCAGGAGGATACAGCTCCCTCTAGCGACCTCCACAGGCACCTGCAGTCATGTGCACAGACACATGCATTCACAGAGTACAACTAATAAAAACATAAATCTTTTTCAAAGAAAGCAATGGGATGATTTCTAGGTGCATTTATATCTTCATTGTGTGTGTCGTCGTTTGTAGTGATATTTTGTTTGTAATCTAAAAAAAAAGAAAGCTCTTTGATTCTGGTACCTTTATGAAATAACATCGGTGAGCTAACTCATGTAAGATCACGCAGCTAAAACACGCAGTTGGTGCAGAGCTGAGACACAGACACTAAGGTCCACTAATTTCTGTATTTTACAAACAAATGTTTCTCTCCTCCTTCCATTTGCACTGTACCATCTCCTCTTTCTGAGCTGACCCCTAAGATGGCAAACAACAACGGAACTGAAATACTTATTCTAACTGTGAAGAACTTCACACTGAGAGTAATGATCTTTGCCCACAAAACAGAATTTTTAATGCATGTTTTGTTTAATTTATATTTTCAGAGCCCAAACTGGAAGAAAGGGGGGTCTGGAAAGCACTAAATCTAACAAATTTAAATATTTCCAACATTGAAAGATTTCTCATGGTGTATAATTTTCCTTCCAAAATTGGAATTATTTTAATGGCATATTTCTATGATCCAGTGTGTGTGTGTGTGTGTGTGTGTGTGTGTGTGTGTGTGTGTGTGTGTGTGTGGTGCATATGTAAGCACACATGTGCTGCACTACATGTGTGGAGGTCAGAAGTTAATGACCTTTGCCAGTCTCCGACTCCTGTCTTCTTTGAAGCTGGTTTTATCCCTGTTTACTGGTTCCTTCACTGCAGATGGAAGGCTTCCAGGGATTCTCCTCACTCCTCATCCCATCTTAAAACAAGAGTTCTAGGATTGTAGAAGCTACTGTCCAGCTCTACATGGGTCCTGAGGATTCACACTCAGGTGTGCAAGCTTGTGTGGAAAGTCCTTTAACCCCTGAGCGATCTCTCTGGCACAGTGTCCATCTTCCTCCTGAGACTTTTGCTTCTGTGCTTGATACAAAACTGAAATAAAAACTTTCTTATTTGATTCAATGAGAACTTGGATGCTAGAAAAGCTACCTTTGGCCTACAGAAACAGCTGACTTGAGCAAGTGGGAGCTCACAGACCCCAGTCTGAAGGCTGGGGAGCCAGCATAGGACCAAACCAGGCCCCCTGAATGTGGGTGTCAGTTAGGAGACCTGGGCAGTCTATGGGGCCTTTGGCAGTAGCACAGTATGTATGTATCCCTACTGCAGGAATGGGCTTTAGGAGCCCATTCACTATGAAGGGTACTCTCTCAGCCTAGATACATGGGGGAGGACCTAGGTCCTTTCCCAAGTGATGTGATAGACTTTGATGAGCCCCCATGGGAGGCCTCACCCTCCCTGAGGAGTGGATAGGAGATGGGATGAGGGGGTTGGTGGGGGAAATGGGAGGATGGGAGGAGAGGGAACTGGGATTAGGATGTAAAATACTATTCAAATAAAAATTTAGTTTTAAAAAAGCTACTCTTGGGCACCTGACTTCTGTCCATTTCACACCTTACACTTGTCATACCTCCGCCCTCCTGCTTATACGTTCTGGTCACTCAAAACAGCTTTTTCCATCTCTGGGATGTGCTCAGCTGTGCAAATGCTACACATGCTCTGTGTGTGTGTGTGTGTGTGTGTGTGTGTGTGTGTGTGTGTGTGTGAGAGAGAGAGAGAGAGAGAGAGAGATCTCCAAGTTAACTGTCTGTAGCTTGCCAGTTTGCTCAAACATTCCCTGACTACTGTGTATACCACTTGCTTTTGTATTTGACACTGTGGTGGTGATTACAACCTCAAAACTACCTTGGAGAACCCCACAGTTTCTAACCTATATTTTGATCACTATGCTCAGTTGTTAGCTCTCTGTCCATCCCCAAAGCTTCTTGAGGTCAGAGATATATGACAGCTATCTATAACCCTCACAATCCTCAAGTTCATTATTTTCACAAAACAGGTGTCTGATGAACACTGGTGGAATTACTGTCACCCGTGAATGATGAGTGAGTAAATGCACAAATGCATTTTGGTATAACAATAATGTTGTATAGCACAATGAAATTTTTTAAAGCATGGCTTTTTTATGCTCTCTTTATAAAACATAGTAATGCCTTTCTCACATATTTTTATTAAGGATTAGGACTAAAGGTATCTGGCATGTCTTTTGTGATTAATCAGCCATGGCTATTTTAGTCATGATGGCTTTATCTAAACAAAGGGTAGGGTGGCTTGGCATTACAGAGTGTACTTATGTTGTTGTCTAGCAGGTCTTGAAAACTGAGAAAGGGAAACCTGAGAAAGGTTGGCGGCCCAATTGTACGTACAACAATATTGGAGAAAGCCTCGAAGATAAACAAACAGAGAAACAGAAGGACAATAAGCCACCCACACACTAGGATATGCACCACCAGATCTCTTCCTGCCGCAAGAGCCAAGGGGCACAAAGACATCTGTACTGTACAATTACATCTAGAATTTCAAAAATTTGACAGAACCATTTAAGATCCAGGGTCCGTAAATCCACCTGCTTCCCTGTGAGAACATTCCTGCTCTTCTCTAGAACAAAGGCTAGCATCCCCCAAGGA